ATATTGTCCAAGATTAACCTTCAGGGTGGATATAGCTCGCTAGCAGCCTCGCACCGAGGACCTGTCCACGTCATCATTTACCCAGAATGCTTTGTGTGTAAATAAAATGGCTCTGTCCATGTTAAAATATATTTAAAAAATTACAAAACTAAACATCCTACAGTGTTTTTTTACAGTTTTTATTTTGCAGTTAAAATATATGTTTATTAAATAAAGTCTAATGTTACAACTAATCATGGATCCCTTTAAATGATAAACAGACACATTTAGTTTATTGTACAGGAAATACATTTGTTGCTGCATTTCCTTTTCTTCATTTTACAGAAATAAAACACCAGATTTAAATTGGTAGATTGATTACATGATTCATTAATTCATTCATTGTAATAAAAGATGGCTGCAGATAGTCACTCAAACTATTTCTCCTTATTCAAGGCCTCATCTCATCAACTCAGGCCTGTTATGAGAAGTATTTTCATCAAGTTGTTTTATATTTATGTCTTTCTTTAATTTTTTCACCTGTTTTTCAGCAAATGTGAGGTTTTTGTGTAAGCAAGCTCCTGGAGGTGTGGCAGTGTGTACATAAACGTTGGAAAAGTTTATCTTGCGGTCACGGAGTTCTTTCTTCTGATGAGTTTTTGCCCAAATCTGTTCTTGAATCTCGAGAAAATCTTTCTAGAAAGTGTTTCCCACCCAGAGCTAAAGCAGACAGAGATGAGTGGAAAGCTATTTTTCAATCTGTTTTTTTTCCCCTGTTCACGTGATCACTATCAAGTTTTGTACTTCGGCTTCTCTCCTCACTTTATCCCTGCCCTCCGGCTATCTGTTCATCATATTTTCACCTCACATCGACCTCTCACTCATCACCCCCCCATCAGTATTCTGATGCTGAGTCTGAGGATGAGGAGGATGAGGGAAAGGCCACCGCTCGTCTGCTGGCGGTGACAACAGGAATCTGTCAGAGTGTGAAGTTGTTGGACAGAATGATTTGAACTCTCGTGTCATAACGCAATCAGTGACATGTTTTTTTATTGATCACAAGGCAGCTTTATTTGTGGCTCGCTTCAGGTTTTAAAACCACAGCTGATTTATTGTCGAAGCTCCATGAATACGAAATGTAGACACAGATTTTGCCTTGAATGGTTTTCATGGTTTTTTTTGTGCTGCTACTTTTGTCTGTTAGGAAGAGTTATGGTCTCTAAGAGTGGCTGTCACTTTAATGCCAGGTATAAACTGAACAATTCAAGCCCTGTTTATCCGCTCTGACACTTAGAGCAGAAATCTGGTTGGTTGAAAGTTAAAAGTGTAAAATCCTTTGTATTTTTGATTTCACTTTGCATTGAGTACCTTTAACTTTGAACCAACCAGATTTCTGTTCTATCATGTTGGGGGTTGATCACTCAGGGCAGCTCAAAGCTAAAATTAATAAACTTGTTTATTAAAGGCTGGCAAGTAAACATCTTTATATTGAAGAAACATAACATAATACACACGATTTTACCTGTTTTTTCACAAAACTATCATCTTTTCCTTTGAATTTGGCTCAGTCGGAGTGAAACAGGAAGTGACATCAAAGGAAGTCTTTAAGAAATAAAACTCCCAGGTGTTTGTTCATTGAAACAATAATTTTTGAACTCTGACACGTCATCTCTCCGATAGTGGCTCAAAATAATCCAAAGAAACAGATTCTTCTCTAGAGTCTGTGTTGTTATTGTAGCACTTTGTTTAAATGCACACATTTATTTTGACATCACTTCCTGTTACTTCACTTGTGAATATCTCAACCACTGTTCATCTCAGTGATGTGAATTTTCTTTTGCAACACGTTATAAATGCAGACTTTTAAAAAACTCTCAATAAAATCATATTTATTACAAAAAACTGATGTCACATGTCCTTTAAAGAGACACTAATAGACTGAAGATGACAAACACCTGGGCAGACAATAAAAAGCTCAGGTGAGAGTGGGCGGGACAGGAGCTGAAGTAAAATACAGAATAAAATCTAAACTGACCAAAAATATTTGTAAGTATAAGTTTTAAAAATCTGAAGTGCTGCCATGAAAATAAC